CCAATAGTATAAAATCAGCTGCATTCTATTCAAGGAAAGTAGCACAAAATTTTAATTATGTATTTGCGCAATATATATAAGATGTTGTAATTAGTGTTTTACAATTTTACACCTCAGACAGGAATGTATACCATTCTATGTCAAACAACTCAATTCTATAATAGTACTTTGGGCAAGTTAATAACACAAAAAACTGAATAAGAGATTAATTTTACAAAATAAAATGCATGAAATTTATTATTGGTAATTGCAGGTGCGAACAATTTTTCTTCTGCATGACACGCTACGCTAAACAATATGATTTTTATGCCATTGCCCTCTTTTTTTTCTAATAAAATTTGTAAGCGGTATATTTACATATTACGTACATACGTAATTGTAATTTTTGTTCCTTTTATTTCCGCTGCACTGAATAATTTTATTAACTTTCGGAAATATTACGTATTCATCGAAATATAATTATAAGACTTATGGAAATTGTTACAAATATATTTTTTTCAAATTCAATAAAAATTAGAAAATTTTTGAAATTGAAAAAAATAATAAAAAATTATAATAATATGAACTCAGAATTAAAACCTATTAATAAGGCTAATAAGGCTAATAATATAAGTATAATATAAGGAAATAAAATAATTTTATTGCAAAATTGAAAAAATAGACAAATAAACAAATTGATAAGTTTTTTTTATATAAAACATATTTAACACCTGCATATTGCTATGACAGATTAAATTTATGTTCCGTTTCTATAACAAACTACAGTTTGAGCAGTAAATTGTAAAGTTAATCAAGCGTTACGGAAAGAAACAAGGGAGTGTGTACCCTGCCAATGAATAAACTCTTTACTTATTGACATTATTTCTGTACCCAAAGATCTTTTAAAAGAAAAATTTAAATTGGGAGTATTAATAAAATTATAAATTTTCATAAATTTTTTGAATAGTTTCGGTTCATAATCGAACTGCGAAAGATGACGTGTTCACGGTGACTGAAGAAATAAAAGAAATGTATAAGAAATCGTAATTAATTTCTTAATATTGTTTTCTTATGTGACGTATACAAGGTTTGTTTTAAAATATAAAACTAACTCAGAAAATAGCAATAGACCTAATCGTATAGTGTGGACGAATTTAGCATATCATATTGGTTATTTGAAGTGCATTGTGTAGAAAAGTAAGTGCATCATTGTGTAACAAGTGCATTTTTTTTATAATCATTAACAACTAGAATCGGAATTTGCCAATTATAAGTACATAAATTGACAAGAATAGTGTTGGATATTGTTGCTGACTGCTTCTGTAAGCAAAATAACTTTGAACAAAATTAAATGTTATAGGTATGTACTCGTACAAAGTTGAATGTTATATTTTTTTTTCGATAATACAACATTCTGTACGATATTATAAAAATACAGTTAATTCACATTACAGTTATTTTATATAGACTTCCTATTTTGTCTTCAACAATAATTTATCAAAAATACTTTTTTATTTCAATTCCAAACATCTAAATGTTTACTCTTTAAACTTGGGGGAAATTTTTCAGTTATAAAACCAAATTCTCCAGTATAAAATATTTTATAAGTACATACATCTAATTTCGTATTTTAAAATTATTTTGAACAAACTGGCGAAATTTACCTACATACATATAACTCATATTTATTTAGGTTACAGTAGCCAAAATATAAACTACAATAAGAACAACAACCATTCTTCATTTAATTAATATGTACAGAAATGAATGTTATCACGTTATACTATATCCAGAAAATTATATATATCATGTATATAACATTAACATGTTCTGCTATTCTAAAATGTTATTTACATTATACATACATATGTATATCCAAATATATAATTCAATAATATAATTTTTGAATAAACAGAGAAATGTTTTAAAGAATAAATTATTGCAGGAAGAAAAAATTGTTATTCTAAATTGTTTGTATTCTAACTGTAAATATTTTTGCGAAATTTTATATAAATTACAAACTTTACATAGATTTATATGCATATATTGATGAAATGAAATAGAACAGAATGCTGGAAGTATTTTGGTAAATCTTTTACAAAAATGTGCAAAATATGTAGGAAGTCTTCGCAGCTTAAAATTTTAAAACGCAAATATTATACATATATTAAAACCAAATATGTAAACACTTGTGCTCATACATACATATTATAAATAATTTCAACATGCTCTACTTTTTTGTATAACTGCATAAGCTGTTAAGCCTTTCTCACAAAAAACTATTCAACAATATAACATTTTTTTTTCTCTGTTCTTTAATACGAAAAATTTTACAATAAAAAAATCTTTATTTGGTGTATTGTATAACAAAAATATTCAACAACATTATTATAAATTTTTCTCTCAAATAATATTTTGTAATTTTGTATACCACTTTTTTATTCTCTTTGTTTCTATTCCATTTTGTTTCAATTCTGTTATTTATTACTGTTATAAACAACACACAAATAAAAGTTGACTATATTTGTAATAGGTTAACAAAAGTTATATTATCTGCGGTATTATGATGATAGAGAGACACGTCATATCCATGCAGTCATACAATAAAAATTCAACGATAAACAAAACTTGTATATATAGTTAAAAAAAAAAATTTGACAACATTCAATTGTTTTGTTTGTATTTGACATGTACGTATTTTGTATGATATTACCCTTATATTTATTTTATACTATTAACTGTTATACGGATATTTTTTAAAACTCTCTTCTTTATTAGTGACTGATGAAAAAATGAAAATAATATTTCCTTTTTAATGCTATGAAAAACGTAGTTAAATTTGATAGAAGAACCAAAATTTTTTGTTATTTATTTTTTTTTTAGAACTGTTATACAATTTAATTTGGATTTTATATGTTAGAAATTCTTATTATGATTATTTTTGATATTATTCTCTGTTGTTATTTTCTTATCGTATTATTATTGTTATTATTTTTTCTTTTTTCATTTTTCTATACCATTATTATTTTTTTGTATTTTTTTTTTTACTTTTAAAAGATACAATTTCAAAAACGATTTTCTGTAACTTTAGTTCATTTTCGGTTATCGGACTGTATGGTAACGTGTTTTATGAAATAACCGTAAAAGAAAAAAAATAAAAGGAGAAGAACGTTTCAATTTAATAACAAGTATGTGAAAATATTGAGAAAAAAAAATAGCAACATAGTAATGACTAAAAATATATATACATATGTATATGTGCATACATTAAATGTATATATAGAAAAAATAAATAATATAAAAAAATTTATGAATAAAATATCCTTGAGATAATTGCAAGGCAAACTAAAGAAATATAATAATTATAATAAAAAAAAAATTAATAATAAAAAGGAAATATTTATGTTTTATCAAAAATAAAAATAATAAGTTTTCCTTTTTTTAAATAAAATTATAATAGTTAAGAATATAGTATGAAATAAAAATTAACAAAATAATTACAAAAAAAATAATCATATAAGAATTATTTTTAATTATTAAATTATTTAAAATAATAATTAATTATATAATTATTATAAATATTATTAAATTAATAATAATATGATAAGTACTAATTTAACAAAATTATATTAAAAAAGTGTTATATACTTATTAAATTTTCATTATTCATAATTAATGTAAAAGGATATTCAAGAAAAAACGAAATTAATTGTGAAAATATTCGAGTACCAAAAGAAAATATTAAATTTTTAAAAAATTAAAATAAAATGTATAACAATTGAATATATTTCAATATATTTTATTAAAAAATTAAAATTAAAGTAAGTAGCTTTTATAATAAGGATAATGATAATAGTATAAGTAAATTGTGAAAAAATAAAATTATATAGATATTTAAATATAAATAAAAAATATAAAAAATAAAACTTTTATTTTTATATTTTTAAGTTAAAGTTACAAAAGATAATTATTACTTTATTTTTAAAAAAAAATTAAATAAAATAAATAAAGAGAAAAAAGTAAATTAAATAAGCATTTAAACTTAATTTTTTTTTCTCTTCATAATTTTCTCTTATTTTCATTTTATTTTGTGTGTATGTTTTTTTATTGAAAAAGTTTATTTTTTATATACTGTTATCATTTTATTTTTTTTTACTTGTTTTTTTACCATCCAAATATTCATAAATGTATAAAAATTATATATAACAATAAAATATTATATAAAATATTTTTATTAATATATTATAAATGTTTTATATATGAAAAAAGAAAAGTAGCAAAATAAATAAACAAAAAAAAAATTAGAATAAAAAGGGATGAAATAAAGTTCTTAAAAAACTTTTTGTTTCTTTTTTTATTTTTAACTTATTTATTTATTTAAATATTGTTATACAGAAACACAATTCATTATATTTATAGTTTTATCATATTTTCTCGTATATTCATAATATATTTTATATTATATAAAAGAAAGAGATAAAATTACAAAATACTTAATTTATGTACAAGTGTTAAAATAAAGTGAAATATCCTTGTAATAAAAAAAAAGTAGAAAACAAAAAGAGAAATAAAATTTTTAAGAAAATAAACACATAAAAAAAATAACTTGTGTTTTAATTTAAAAAAGAAAATTTAAAAATAAAAGAAGAAAACAACAAAATTGTTGAAATTTGAAATATTTTATACAATTACACTTAAAACTAATTAAAAACAAAATTATACTCAAAAATTTAAAATAAAAAAAATAATGAAAATTAAAAATTAATTTTTTATTCAGGAAAATAAAACCTTTAAGTCTTTTCTAATTTCGAATCCAAATTGAAGATTTTAATTTTAAAATAAGAAAAAAAGAAAAATAACAGGAAAAAATTATTTTCGAAATTTCTTTTATGTTACTATAAAAAAATATTTTTGATTTAAAATAAAATTTTAATAAATAAAAATAATTTGTTTGTATTTAAATAATAAAAGTAAATTTGAATTTCTTTAATATTAAAATAGTTTTGTCTATAAAATATAATATTTTAGTTAAAAATTGGAAAAAAAAATTGAGAAAAAAATTAAAAAAAATAATTTTATGTTTAAAATAAATTTTTTAATTAAAAATCGAATAATTGATAAATAGAAAAATATTTATCTGATATTAATCATAAAATGGTTATTAAATAATTAAAATTTCTAAAAAAATCTTTCACTCATAAAGTGTTCACTCATTATAGTACTTTGGTAAAAAAATTATAAATGCCGATTTGACAGTAAAAATAGTAACAGAGGATTTAAAAAAAAAAACCTGCCTATTTAACGTAAGAAATTTTATTTTTTTTATAAATATTAAATTTATTATTTAATTAATTTTAAATTTATTTTTAATTAATTGATTCAGAATAATATAGGTGTAATCCTAATTATTCACAATAATAAATTTTTTGAAGCTAGTTTTATTGAATACCGTATATCGTAAAATTTTGATTATTATATTATATGACAGATTATTCAATATTATATGAATTAAAAAAAAATTTACAATAAATTAACAAAAAAAAAATAAATTGTTATATAGTAAATGAATATTAACGTAATAAATTGCACGTTTGTGAAAATTTCGAAATTCGATTTTTTTGGAAACTTTTTATAAAAATTTTGAAAATTCACATTCACATTATTTGGAAATTCGTTGGAAAGGAATGAGGAATAAAACTTACTGTTTTGCTTAAAAAATATTATAAAAGCGGTATTAATAGAAGTTTACAGGTTCCTCGAAATAATTGAATAAATTTAAGTAAGTGAAATTGTTGGGATAAGTACCTACCCCATGTAAGCTTTTAGTTTATATTCCTCGGAAAAATTAAAATTTTGCTCTTATTCTTTGCTTTTGCTTAATTTCGGTGACAGCCAGAACTCAAATATTAAATTTCAAGAAATTTCATCAATTAGTACCGTAGATATGGTAAAAAATATAAAATCGACCTTCATATATAAAATTTCATCAAAATCGTTTCAGACAAAAATGAGATACATGCTTGTACACAGAGATCGACAAACCGAAAGATAGAGGAATCGACAAACCGATATATCTCTAAAAATAGTTTTCTACGCTTCCCTAGCAATAAAATTGATTTCTTAAGATTTTTTGGGAAATTTTTATTTTTTTGTTTAAATTTCATGTTTGAGCAAGTGCTACTCAATAACAGCTTGCTCCCTGTTCTAGCTTCAGTGAGTTATTGTGATTGACTTTTACCCATCTGATTTTCGTAATCCTTCCCACGAAAAATTTTTTTCTTAAAAACTCCAACCTGAAATTAGATTATATCCGAAATTATGAGTTTTGTAATATCCAACATTAACTTACACAAGTTGTATGCGTTTTTATAATCTGGTTTATTAAAATAAGTCATTTATGTTTAGGCAAATGCTATTTCAAATAACACCATACTTATCTTATGAAAATCATTGTTTTTTTTTTTTGCGAAATACTTAATTTACTTGTTTGTTACTACATTTTGTAATTCAGTAACTATAAATAAATATATTGAAATTTTAAGTACATTTACATATGTATGTTTAAATTACAAAAATTATCATTAAAATTAGAGGAATATTAGATTATAAATATTTTATTTTATGTATATGTACAATGTACATGTATAATACATACATATGTACATGTATATTTGTATGTATTTTAAAAATATTTAAGTATTTTAGAGTATATCTACGAATTGTTCATTTATGCAAGTTTATGGCAAAAATTTTTGGAATAATTTTTAGAAAACTCATGCATTTTAAATCGACTGTATTCCAAAGGGAATTAAAATTTATTATTATCTATACTTAATATTTAGGATTTTAAATTTTGGATTAGATAATTGTATGTACAATAGTTTTGAGTTTCTCCGATGTTATTTAATTCATTATCTAGTTTATTGCATTTAAATATAATATTTTACTGAATAAATAGCGCAATTTAAAATCTATATTCCATACATACATATACATATAAACATTCTGTTTATCTGAATACTTACATTTCTCCAATATAGTTATTATTTTATGTATATACATATGTTATATTACTTATTTGTATTTGCGTTATTGTTATTTGATTGCATATAGAATATTCATAAAGCAATATTGTTCGCCGCAAAATTCACATATTATTTGTTTTTCCTTTACATTTTTATTAATATTCAATTACATATACATACAAAATATATAAATACATAAGTGTTTTTTTATGTTTATTTATTCAACATTTAATAAAAAACAATAAATTGTATAATAAAATTATATATAAAAAAAATAAAACAAAGCATATTGTGTGTATTGTTTTTTTTTGTATTAAAGTTAACATAGCGTAACGCAACGATATTAATAATAAGTGTATATGGTGGTCAGTCAATCGTATCAAAAAATAAAAAAAAAATATTATATTTTTTTTTGAATAACTATGAATAAATGAAGAAATATTTGTTAATACAGATTATTCTTGTAACTACTAGGTACATACATGCATAATATATTAAAGAATATAAATCGCACCCATAGGATAATACCGCAATAACGCAAGATACAAACGAAATGGAGATAATTGGAATGATTTTCTAATAAAATTTGTGAGTTCATATACTTAAGTAATATTAAAATTAATATGACAATAATTCGCTCTAGTTCTATATTTAATATGCACATAATGCAATATGCATTAAAGTTGTGGAAATTGAGAGTTACTTATTTACATTCCATTCAGTTCTAAGTCATTGCACTTGCAATTAATTTTCAACGCTTAAAATTGATTACTTCTTATATTGTAATAGCCAGTCCTCTCTTAACACATGCTATTATTGTAAATCTCATAAATTAAAAAACTTTCAAATTAAAAATTTCCGGATTAAGAATTTTAAATATAACGTATAACAGTTTTATTCTATAGGTGTTATATGTATAATAATTACTTGTAGACCTATATTTCTTTTTTTAAACGAATTAATTCTTATAAAAATACAACATACACATGTATAACGTATTAACTGCTATATTATTATAGTATAAATTACATATAAAATACAATTATGTTGGGCAGTACTTGTTATATTTTTAAAAAAGGGTTTTTGACCTCAATTTTATTAAAAATTAATAAAATAAAAACAATCATTTACTTAAGTGCTTTGCTATATAACACGTGTATATACAAATGGTATGTAATCTGTACGAGTACATACACTGTACAAATTTAGAATAATTTGTTAGTTTTTATATAATTAATATTCTAAATAGGGGACGGTAAAAAAAAAAAATTTTTTTTTTAGTTTTTTACAAAAATATGGAATTAATTAACAATTCGTATTTTTTTTTTAATTTTGGTACCTACACATACATATGTATATTTCACTTCCTTCCTCTAAATACTCAAATTCACATTATATGTATTGTATTATATTATATAAATCTCTACGTATATATGTACTTATGTGTGTGTACAAAATTTTTTCTATTCACCACATAATTAAATGTATACACTTTACATGAGAGCACAACATATAATAAACATACTTACCTACTTAAATGATACCGAATATAATTATTCATTTGTCGGAAATTTCTTACCTAATTAATATAACAATTAATTTTTATTGCAATAATACATAATATTATATTTTATATGTTATTTATAAAAGTATGTTAAATGTTTTGTTATACATAATGTATTTGGGTTTTTATAGAGTTAATTTTAAAAATTTGACATATTGTTACATATTATGTGATTGTATAGGAAAGCAAGACGTGTACGTAATACGTATGTAATTATTAATTGTATCGGTTAAAATAGGAAAAGCTTCAGCTCATTTAACATGATATTTTTTAACATGAATGTTGTATTCTCATGTAATCATGTATATGAAATCAAATTTTGTAATAATAGACATAAATAATAATAATGTAAATGGTTAAAGAATTGCTTGTAATAATTAGTTTTAAAATCAAAAATTAACTATCATTTATTTTTTTTATAGTTAATTTGATGATCCTTCGATTAATCATATAAGATAGATATTTCACGCAACAAAATCTATTTGCTATATTATGTAATATTGATACCCTTGTTATTTAATTCAGAAATATTGGGAGCTAAATAAATAATTTTAATCCTGCTTAAAGCTCACTCGTTTGTAAAAGCGAATTAGATTCAATAAAGATCACTTTTTAAAAATTATTGTATAGCAGATTCATTGTCAAACATAATGCCGAAATGTGATAGCATTTTTTGTAAACAAATTAATTTAGATATCAATATATTTATTATAAGAAACATTTATAGAAAATCGCCTGAAAACTCTTAACCTTTAATCCCAAAATTATAATTTAAAAATAGCAGATTTTAACCATTATGTAAAAATAAAAGTTTGCTTTCATTTATCAGGGAAAATTGATTGGCAAATCTTTTTATTTGCGGAAAAAAAGACACAAAAACAAATTTTTCTAGTATTTGAAATTTGTGACCTAAATTTGTTCAAAATATTGTGATGAGTCTTAATTTTTATCGCCAAAAATTACTAACTTACATATTTTTGCTGGCACGAAATGTCTTGAAAACCATCTAGAAGACTATGTTAATGTGGCAGTTGTATGTTATCAAGTACGTTGATAATTCATGAAAATATAAGAGCCAGACGGTGGTGGGAGTTCTCAAAATTAGCGTTCTCACCAGAGTTGTCGGGCCTACTTAGACTCAGGGTATAACTCAGTAAGTTGCGCTTCGAAAGTGAATATACTTACAGATTCTGTGGGAAAGATTAAGAAAATGGAATATTTTTACTCCTGATTTTGGAGATTTTACCATCTTGGACTTACAGTACAAACATAAACGTGCTCAAAACGTGCAATACTTCCAATAGTTTTTGTTTTTTTCTTAACCTAAATAAATTCATTGTGAAAGAACTTCAAAAAAAAGTTTAAAGAAAAAAAAAACATAAAATTGAAACTTGAAATTAAACAAGCGGATATTGGTGAAAATGTTCTGTTAAAAAACATTGTTATTTTAAGAGTTTTTTAAACTCACAAAATTATTTAAAATTTTGTTATTTATGGTTTTATGGTTTTTTGGTCATGGTGGTTGAGTACAAAAATTGCTTCTTAAAATATGGTTCATTCATACAAACTGTGTTAATGTATGATTTCCTGTGCATAATTTTTTTATTTATTTTTTTTTTTTCGAAGTAGGTTACTTAGTCTCATAAGATGTATGCGTGCGTTTGTAATTTGAAAATATTTTGCAAAACTTAAGTGAAATTTTTTTCTAATTATA